AAGAAATTAAAAAGTATCCTAATAAGGAAAAAGAAAAATGGTATGCAGCAATGAATAAGGAACTGAATTCATTAAGAGATATGAAGGTGTTTGAAAATGCCAAATTACCTGTAGGAAAGAAATCCATTGGCTGCAAATGGATATTTAAGGTAAAAATAGATAAAGATGGTAATTTAATCCATAAGGCAAGGTTAGTAGCCCAAGGTTTTAGGCAGAATGCTAATGACTATGATGAGGTGTTTGCACCTAGTCTTAAGGCAGCAACCTTGAGGGCAGCTTTAGTGTGGGCAGCTAGTAAAAACTATATAGTTAACCATCTAGATGTGGAAACTGCTTACTTGCACGCCCCATTAAAACATATTATTTATATGAAAAAAACCTGTTGGTATTAAAAGTGAAAGTAAGAATAATAATGATTGTTGGTTGTTAAAGAAAAGCCTCTATGGTCTAAAACAATCAGGCTATGAATGGAACCAGTATATTGTAAAGGAACTAGACAATATAGGATTTAAAGCTGGTTTAGCCGATCCATGTCTGTTTAAAAGGGAGACAAATGGGAAAGTATCATTATTATTACTATTCACAGATGACATTGCATTGATAACTGAAACTAATGATGAAGCAAATAAAATAATAACATCATTAGTAAAGAGAATAAAGATCAAGCAATTAGGGGAGATAAAGAAGTATCTCGGTTTGAATATAAAGAAAACAAGGAAAGGTTTTAAGATATCTCAGGAAGATAAGATAAGCAAATTACTAAAAGATTACAAGATGGAGCTTTGTAAGCCAGCTAAGACTCCAATGAGTCAGGAGTTTAGCAACACTGATGTACAAAGCCCTGAGTTTGATAAGGTGATTTATCAATCTTTAATTGGTAGTTTGAGTTATATTAGTAATTGGTCTAGACCAGATATATCGTACTGCGTGAATCAGTTGGCTAGATTCAATTCTGCACCATGTGAAAGACACTGGAATGCAGCTAAGAGGATATTAAGATATCTTAAAAAGACAATGAATTATTCATTGTATTTAGAACCAAAGGGTGATTTAATTTTGAGTGCTTATGCAGATGCTAGCTTTGCATCAGAAAGAGATACTAGAAAGTCGACTTCAGGAACAGCCATAATGCTGGGTAAGACATTAATAGGCTGGAAGTCAATTAGACAACAGCATATAAGTTTGTCTACTATGGAGGCAGAATTCTCCTGTTTATCATTGTTATGTACAGAATTAATAATGTATAAACAAATGTTAATTGATATAGGTATAACTGTAGATTATCCTATAATTATACATGAAGATAATCAGGCAGCAATTCAAATGGCCACAAATATTGGAGTAAAAACAAGGAGCAAGCATACAGATCTAAGATACCTAAACGTGAGACAATCTGTAAGAAGTAAGATGATTCAGCTAGAGTACTGTATGTCGGAGGACAATTTAGCTGATAATTTTACTAAAGCCCAAGGTGCCAGTAAGCACCAGGAGAGTTGTGAAAAATATGGGATAAGATTGTAAAGGTATTATATATTTATTTCACCCAAAAGGGGAGTATGTTAGGTATAACATTGATACCAAATATGGTTTGGGTGAATAAATATATAAAACTTAGATATCATGGTTTAAGTGCTTATCACTTTAAGCACAATGCAGCAGGCAATTAGCCGATTAAGGGTGCGGTTAGAAGTTACAATATAAGGAAGCATTAGAAGCTGGAAAGCTTACTGTATCTGGCTGTAACTGTGTGCTACTGTAACTGTGTGCTGCTGCGACTAACTGTGATTACTGACTGTGAGTGCCTGTGACTGAACTGTTATTGTTTGCTACTGTTTGCTGAATATCCAGCGTTTGTTTCTCTGGAGAGTGAAACCGGAGGAGGAGAAGATATCTTTATCGGCTGATAAAGATATTGCAAGGACTCTTAACTTGGACTATACTAGTGAGTCTTACTGGATGGAAATACTGTGAATGACTTAATGGACTGAATGACAATGCTTAAACTCTAACTGGATTAAAAACTATTTAAACTACAAACAGTGTTTGTGTTCAGTGTGTGTATACTCTGGGGCCCTTCCACTCTTGTTTTGGCTGCCTGGCTTGACTACTGCTGCAATACTCTGCTAGGGGTTAATCCTCAAACCCTAACACAAACCACAGACCAGAAGCCTGGATGCTTTTTCTTTGATATTTACACAACTAGGTTTGCTTTACAAAATACATACTTCTAGTATGTTACACCTAATACAGTATATGCAATTTACCAATTTATGTGTATGATTTGTTCTCAAGGCCACTGAATTCTCAGTCAGAATGGCAAATGAGGTTTACTATTTGCCAAATATCCTCCCTGCAGTCAAGCAGAATCCTGATTTTTGTGCATAATCATAAAGTTAGTGCAAACATGCATATGGAATTATGATACCAAGATCTATTTATCTTCCTTCCTTCCTTCCCTCCTTTGTTTCTTCCTCAGATAGCAGACTGAACATTCTTAATTTCTTTGATAAAACTAACTCAGTGCCCTTTGATGTTTCTGATTCAAAACATAGACATTCTTTGTGGGTGATCCTTTCACATTTCACCTTCTTTTAATTTCAGATATTATTTGTATTTTTCGCTGCTTGAGGTCTGCAATTTTGCTGAATTACATTCTCAGTTCTATGACTCATATCATACTGCAATAACCTGCAAAAAAGCTTTTGCTAATTAGAACTTATTTTTGAATGTCGTTACATTTTTCCAGAAGCATTGCACCAATGATCTGAGTTATCTTCAAACGTTTAGCATCAGTTCCTGTCTTTATATTTGGGTTTTTTTATTTTCGATTGTCCAATTTTATGATAATCAGATTCTTCATCTTAATTCACCTCACTAATAATAGTTCAAATCCAGACCAGGATACTTTGCTATCTAAGGTAGAATACAGAATAACAGAGTTGGAAGGGACCTATTGAGGTCTTCTAGTCCAACCCCTGCTCAAGCAGGAGAACCTATATCATCATGGACAAATGGCTGTCCAATCTTTTCTTAAAAACCTGCAGTGTTGCAGCATCCTCAACTTCTGGATGCAAGCTGTTCCACTGATTAATTCTCATTGACATTTTAGACTGTGCAGAGATGGACAGACTAACAATGAAATTAAGAGACAAAGAAAAGTTGATATATTATAATGTCTGGGATTCCTGGTATGAATGGTTTAAGAATAAAAAGAAATCAAAATGGCAATTAGGTAAAGAATAAGAAACTATGTAAATACTTATATCTATATTCATATCTATCTATATTTATTTATATATTAAGTTGAAATTGTATAATGAAAGAAATGTATAGATAGAAAGATCAGGAAATGTAAAAGATGTTGATATAATGATGTATAAAGTTTTATTTCATGTTTTTAAATTTTGAAAACTAAATAAAATTTAAATGGGGAAAATTAATTCTCAATGACAGTAAATTTCTTAGTTCTAGGTTGAACCTCTCTTTAAAAACTTACATCTTTTACTGCCTCCTCTGCCCTTATTCTCTGTGACACTCTTCAAATATTGGAAGATTGCCATCGGGTCACTATTACTCCTTCTCTTCATTAGACTAGACCTATATAGCTCTTCTAACCATTCATCACATGCTTCACCTTCCAGTCCCCTAATCACCTTTATTGCTCTTCTCTGCACTTTCTAGAGTTTCAACACCTTTTTTATATCATGGTGACCAAAACTGGACACAGTATTCCGAATGTGGTCTTAACCAATATGGCTGGCTCATTCTTAAGTGGTTGAATGAATGGCAGGCTCATATTCAAGCAGACTCCAAGATCTCTTAGTTACTGATGTTAAGCTAGGTACCACCTATTGTATATTTGTGCTTTTTTTTTTTTGCTTGCTGAAGTGTAAAACCTTACTTTTCTCATTACTGAATTGCATTTTGCTGGATAGGGCCCAGTGTTCAGATCTCTCAAGGACCTTCTGGATCTTGAGCTTATTTATTTTCAAGTGTTGGCTATCCCCCCCCCCCCCCCCGTTTGGAGTCATTTGCAAATTTGATGAATTCCCCTTCTATTCCCTCATCTAAATCATCTATGAAGGTGTTAAAAAGTACCAGGCCCAAGACAGAACCTTGAGGTACCCAACTGCATGCTTCCCTCCATGTAGATGTAGTTCCATTGAAGATTAAACATTGAGTATGATTGGTCAGCCAGTTATAAATCCATCTGATGGTGATGCTGTCTATCCTACAAGAAGTAGCTCTGATTTACTTTGTCAAATGCCTTACCGAAATCTAAGTAGTTTATTTCCACTGTATTTTCCTGATCCACTAATTTAGTCACTTGGTCAAAGAATGCCCTAAGGTTTGCCTGGCAGAATCTGTTTTTGACACATCCTTGTTGGCTTCTAATATTAGCTTTGCTTGTTTCTAGATGTTCGCAGATCCATTGCTTAATTATCTTTTCCAGGAACTTCTTAGGCATTGAAATGAAATTGATCGGTCTGTAGTTTCCAGGATTCATTCCACCCCACTTTTGAAGATTGGAATCACATTAGCTCTTTTCCAGCCCACTGGTAGTCAATAAGCTGCATTGGTGTTTTTTTTTTCTTTTTGAAATTGAACCAAAATTTTATGACCTTGCCCCATTTGTTAAGTGAATCACTGCAGCTGATAAGTTAGTAACCTGGTTGTTAAGTGAATCTGGCCTCCTGATTGTCTTGGCTTGTCAGAAGGCTGCAAAAGGGGATAACATGAGACTGAGACACAATAAAGGTCATAAATATGAACCAGTTGCCAGCAATCTGAATTTTGATCAAATTATCATGGGGATGCTTGACAGTTGTAAGTGTGAAAAACGGTCATAAGTCACATTTCTTTTAATGCCATTGTAATTTTGAATGGTGACTAAACAAACTGTTTTAAGTTGACCACCACTTGTATATAAAAGTATCTCTTTGGCAGGGGGAGGAAGAGAATAGAATAAACAAAAACCAATGACAAATAGTGTGCATTCAGTTATGTAGTGTTTTTTTTTTAATTTAAGCAATGGACTACCTCAAGCTATACATTTATAAGCTCATCTTCTCCATCATTATACCCAATAAAACAGTAAAACGTTTTTCTTGAAAATTATTCTAAACTTTTAAAAATAGCTGAATTTACAAATTAAATCCTGAACATTTGGATAAATTATACATATCTTCCAACCTGCACGCACTGCAACATTTTTAAAATTCACCCAGGAACCCAGTCTCTCTCTTTATAACTCACATATTTACAGTCTTTCTTGATACCGTTATTGCAATTCTCCTAAGTATGTTTTTCAAGGTTCACAGACATATTTAAAATGTATTTATAGCAGCATATCAAATTAGATTAAAAGAAAGGAAACCTTTAAGAACATGAGATTAAAATCACTCCATATGGGAAAACAAAACAAGGTCTTTCTCTATGAATACTGTGGTAGGCCAAAGCCCTAACAAAATGTTAATTCGACAGCATTTTAGTTTTTAGTCCTGAGCAAGGAGTGCTCAATAAGCTGCACTACTTTGGTCAATGAAAGTATAGGGTTACGTAACATTCATTATTAGCAGATTATAGGATGCTTCCAGGGTTTTAATGTGCAACTCTCCTGCCTCAATAATTTGCCCAGATGAAATTGAGATATTTGGATTCCTTGATTTTCTATTTCCAGTCATCCCACATTTCCCCATGATGACTGCCATTTTTTTTTCTTTTAACGGAAAATGAAGTTAAGAAAGATTTATTAGTTGCCCGATTTCTTTTTATTTATAATGTCAGGAGCCTTCCGTTTGGAAACAGTAACCGTGTCAGGAGCAGTAATCTCTTCCAGTTTATTGACACTCCAGTCTTAATATTTCATACAGCAGCAAAATTCAAGTAAATGTATTAGGACCCCTCTATTCTCTTCTGTTAAAGGCTTTGGAAAATGAGATAAAATACACCGGTATATTTTGGATAACTGTGAAGTTTCATTCCACAGAAGGGTCAATGTGAGGTACGTAGGGCAACTTCACATTCTAGATTACAGTTTTCAGACCATCATTCAAGATCACAGATATCCAGTTTGATTTTGCTAAGTCTTATTTATACACACACACACGAATTAAGCTATGATAGGTTAGAACAAGCAGTCACACAAACCCAGACAAAGATATATAAAACCAACAGTTTGAACGCGGTATACATAAGGCAGCTCTTAAGGGCAGCGGTATTTAGCAGAATACAAATGCCTAACAGTGGAACAATTAACAATCCTTTCAGGTAATTACCATTTGCCTATAAATGCAGAGCAACTTCAGTGAGAGCAAAGCTTATCATCAGAGGTTGAGAAGTTTAGCAGTGCAACTCTTGTTCAGTTACTGACAATATCTTCAGTTGTATCACCTGGATCAGAGACCTGTCCATCTAGACTGCTGGGAACTTTCCAGATTTTCACAGTTCGATCACTGTAAAACATTATTAACATTTAAAGGGAATGAAAAAGAAACATTAATTAAATGCTCAATTAAGTTGACCTCTGATTGAAAGACATTCCTGTTCTTTATAAAGTAAATACTCATACAGCACAGCAGTTAAGTCTCCTCCACTGGAATAACTTTCCTTCGGGAGATGGTTTTTCAAACAGAAGGAACCATCTCGGCAAGTGTCAACTTATAAATGGGCACAAATGGGAGTTAATACTGTTTTGGCCTCCAGGGTTTGTTTTCCAAAAGTGTGGGACTATTAAACCCATATTAGAGGGACATCAAATACGCAGACAAATAAAATTCTAAATGTTGGATTTATTCAAAAGCTGTAAGACCCATAATGAGTAAGTATGTTTATATTTTGTACAATTATCTGTATCGTCATTCATAGAGAAGTGTAAGAGGGCTGTGAAAATATTTACAGACCCCTCACATCCTGGACATAAACTATTTCAACTCCTACCCTCAAAACAACGCTGTAGAGAACACTGCACATCAGAACAACTAGAAGCAAGAACAGTTTTTTCCCAAACGCCATCACTCTGCTAAACAAATAATTCCCTCAACACTGTCCAACTATTTACAAAGTCTGCACTACTATTACTATGAATGTTCTCATCACTCCTTATCACCCATCCCCTCCCACTTGTGACTGTATGACTGTAAATTTGTTGCTTGTATCCTTACGATTTATATTGCCTGTTTCCTAGTATGATTTGATTGCTTATTGTACCCTATGACTATCATTAAGTATGGTACCTGATGATTCTTGACTCTTGACGAATGTATCTTTTCTTTTTATGTATACTGAGAGCATTTGCACCAAGATAAATTCCTTGTGTGTCCAATCAAACTTGGCCAATAAAGAATTCTATATAATCAGAATCCTGGGCAATTTATTATGTTTATTATTTTATTTCTTTGTTAAACATGTATTGTTAAAAAAAAGCCCATGCTTCAACTGAATGATAATGCCCTAAATTTATTCCAGAAATAAAGTATAGGTAGTTCTCAACTTACAACTATAATTGGGACTACGATTTCCACTGCTAATTGATGTGATTCTGAAGGCCCTCGCCATCCCTTTGATCTGAGTTTCCATCACTGAACCCCATGGTTGCTAGGTGAGGCAACTTCAAGCCAGCTTCCCACAATCTAAGTCAGCTGGTAGGAAGCTGCAGGCCCTAAGCTAGTAGGCACGTAAAACATGTAAAAGAGTGAGGAAGGAAGTGAGAGGAACCAGGAGGGTGCAGGGAGGTGGAAGGGTGTATAAAGGTGCACGACAGGCAGGGGTTGGAAAGGGTGCATGGGTGTGCGCATAACGGCTGGTGCTAATAGCGTAGCTGGGCAGAGTGCACAGATGTGAGAGACTTATCTCCGCCATTTGCAATCTCCCTGGCTGTCTTCCCCACTGACTTTCTGGGGAAGATAAAAGGGAAGGTTGCAAATGGCAATCAGGGGTATTTGGGGTGCTTTGCAACCAGTCATTAAGTGCAACTGGGTTGCCAAGCGCCCAGATCACAATCCTGGAACTACGAGGATGCTAGCACAAGTCATAACCACCATTCATTCAACCCTTTGAACAGTTGCTGAATCATCTTAACGACCCCATAATCCCCTTGCATGGTAGAGTCTGGGAAACTGAATGGAGCTAGCAGGTTGTTTTAATGGCCAGATGCCCTTCCTGGTTGCCAATGCGGAGTTTTGTTCAGCAGATATATTCTCATTCTTCCCAGAGAGAGAACTATCTGCCTCTACCTAGGATCAAACTCACAGCCTCCTGATTGTGAGGCGAGAGCTTCCCCTCTAGGCCACCACACCACCCATTTGAACAGTTGCTGAATGAATTAGCTTAAGTTGAGGTCTATCCGTATAACTACAAAACATAAAAAAAATAACTCACTCGGATGCAGTAAAAATGTGGCTGGGATTGGAGCAGATGGCATTAATGGGACTATCATGTCCTTTCAGTTCAGTGATTGGGGCAAATGTGTCTCCACTCCAGAGCTTCAGAATGCCTCCTCGGCAGCCGCTCAATAGCACAGAGGAATCAGGAACGACACCAAGAGCGCAAACCCAGTCCTTGTGAGCATTGGGAACTTGCTGAGAAGAAAAATCACAAGGCAGAAAAATGTCAGCACCTGTAACTAGTGAAAATATGAACTGGAAGATAATGGTGTGCATTCTATTACATTTAGTCCTCAACGTATGACCATAACTGAGACTTCATCTTCTGTCATCAAACAAGGCAGCTGTTAAGTAAGTTGTGCACAATTTTATGACCCTTTTTGCCATAGTTGGTATGAGAATCACCACAGTTAAGTGAATCATGTCATCATTAAGAGAATCTGGTTTTTCTGTTGACCTTGCCTGTCAGAGGATGACTGGGAAGGTCATAAATGGTGATAAGGCGATGCTTCAACTGTTGCAAACACAGGTCGGTTACCATGTGCCCAAATTCTTATCACATGACTAGGGAATGCTACAGCTATTGTAAATGCCAAGGGCCAGTTGCAAGTCACTTTTTTCAGTGCCATTGCAACTTTGAATGATGCAGAATTGCAAATGTGGTCTTACCAGTGCTAACTGGCAAGTGATATTAACACTTTCGTGTGATCTTGTTATTATCCTTCTGCCGATTGCATTCGTTTTGGCAACTTCAGCACGCTGCTGGCTCATATTTAAGTGGTTGTCCACTAGGGCATCTAGATCCCTCACCCATTACTGCTGTTGAGCCAGATACCACCTTTTCTATACCTTTGGATTTGGTATTTAAGTACAGGACCTAATTTCATCATTTTGTTGGATATATGGCCCAGTGTTCAAGTCTATCAAGGTCCTTCTGAATCTTGAGCCTATCTTTTAAATTGTTAGCTATTCCCCCCAAGTTGGTGTTGTCTGCAAATTGGATGAATTTCTCTTCTATCCCCTTATCTAGATCATTTATGAACCTTGGGCTACCCAACTGCACGCTTCCTCCATATATGTAGAGGTGGTTCTCCTGAGGGCTACATATTGAATGAGATTGGTCAGCCAATAATGGTGTGGTGGATAGTACTGTCTATCCCACACTGTCTATCCCACACTCTTACCAAGAAATAAGTGATCTACTTTGTCAAATGCCTTACTAAAGTCTAAGTATAGCCATACCCGAACTACTAATGAGGTTACTTTGTCACAGAATGCAATAAGGTGTGTCCAGCATGATTGGTTTTTGACAAACCCACGTTGGCTTTTAGTTATAATTTTTCTAATGACAATTGTGACAACAGTTCTTACATCTTAATGCCTTTTGTGTTTTAGCATTACCTGAATTAGGTCTTTTTGAGCCAAGTCCCATTTTTTAATTCCATTATCTCTGGATCCACTAAAAAGGTTGTCACCCATAATAGTAAGCGCTTCAATGCCATCATAATGAGGAGGTTCAAAGTTGTGTGTAGGGCTTACAGTTCCAAGAGCTCCTTCAGTTATATCGAACATCTGGAATGGGAGAATACACTATATCTTCAGAATTGTTTTGGTTAGCAATTAAGAAAATATGTATGAGGAAATACATCCACTGCTCTTAATGAATATACAATAGTCCTCCAATGGAGGTGCATTTAGAAATTATTAATTGATTTTAAATCTTTGCGATTTTAAATAACATGGGCAGTCAGCAATCACAAATGCCTAATTTATATTATTTACATTCTCTCTGCACCAAAAAACTGAAATTATTTTTCAAAGTCTTATTACAAAATTATTTCACTACCACTGTATCTCAAAGACTTTAAGCATTTCTGATTCTATCAATAATCAAATGAGCAACAGAGTAACAATAATTAACCAACTGAGCAGCAGTATTCTATTCAAAAATTAAAACATGGTTTAACTAGTACTTGCCCATATACTAACCATGTCAGTGGTTAACATTTTAAAATATTTCTAAGTAGCAACATTTATTGAGGATTGGGATTGGAATCTTATACATATTTATCCAGGCATAAGGCTATGAATTTAAGGGTCTTTATATCTGAAAATGTGGACAGAAAAGGTCATTTTCATTAAAAACAAATAACGCCAAACTATTTTACTTTCAAACATATCCCCCCCCCCCCCCCCCAAAAAAAAAAAAACCATGAAAAGTTGAACAGTTTTAGACATCTATCAACCAGGAAATATTATCTGGAGGCACCCAGGAAGAATATATATCCAAAATGGGTTGGTATATAAATTTGAAGAATAAATGAATGAGAGAATCTGTCTGAAGATTTTTCAATTCAAATAGGGAATTCCTCCTGTCCATTCATAAATGTGCTCCAAAAATGTCAGCCTGACCAGCCTATCAACTGTAAGACAGATATAATGCACTCTACTCCACTGAATTCCATAAACTGATGTTTAACTAGTTTCCATACAGGATTGAAGTGCCTCTCCAAATCTTGTAAGGAGAGAAACAGAGGAAGTTCATTCTTGAAGTTTACTTTCATACGATTACTTTTAAAAAATGCACGAGGTTTTTTTTTACCTTTATATAATGGTCCTTGGAGCCAGTAATGATGAGATCTTGTCCATTAGAAATACGATCTACTGTGAGACACATAACTGGGCCCAAGTGACCAGTTAGTTTTCCTGTAGACTGAAATCTAGAATAACAGCAAAAGATAAAACTTCAGAGACATAAAATAACTTAATTATTTCAAAAGCAAACCAATCACCTCAACTACTTTTTTTTCAAAACTATACTAATATTAGGGCGGTGCAAATCATCGAACAAGTGTAACATCCGTCTGGATCTATAGTATTTGTTGAAGATATGAGTCAGCCACAGCTGTACACTTCTCTCTGCCTGCTCTGAGGCGTTCCTGGCCTTCTCCTGGGTATCTGCAGACACCAAAGATATTTCCACAAAAATAGCTGGTAAATTTAATTTAATATGTTTACTTGGAGGTAAAGGTAGAGCTGGTAGACTCAGCCTGCACCTCAGCAGATACTTTTTGAGTATCACTATGAAGGACTGGTGGTTTTGGGAGGAAAATCAAGCGTTCTACTCATATATACAGTGACTACACAAACTTTATTTTAAAGGACTGTACTTTACATCAGAAAGTTAATTGTTCCTTTGATTTATTTTTTGAAAACTCACTTCTGTCCTTTATTCATGTGAAAAATATGGAAACTGATTTGTCTTTCTAAAACAAATTTAAATATTTTATTTTTTTACATAATTTTATTAGAATATGCATCTTTCTTGGCTTTGAATTTTTCCCTTTGAAAAGCAAAAAGGACAAAGCTTTCCCTTTGTAAAGAAATATAAAGGACAAACATATTCTCACATATAGCAATCGTGCAGACAGTAACTTTTTCAATACTTGTCTTACCAACTGTATGTGTTCTTCCATAGTGTCCGAATATATTAAGATATCATCAAGGTAGACTAACACTCCTTGATACAAATGCTCGTGTAGAATTCCGTTTATCAGCTGCATAAAGACAGCTGGAGCCCAAAAGACGTAACACTGAATTGGTAACTCCCGAGTGGGCAGTTAAACGTACTCATACATTGTCACCATAATCACCAAAGTCATACATTGCAATTGCATTTGCAATTCAATGCTTGAGCCATGGGAAGAAATGATGATGTATCAGGGTATCCACTACAAATATTTAATGAATCCTGATAGTGACAAGTCCTTGCTAGCTTCCAAACTGAAGAAATCTAATGCAGATTACAACTACCAATTCATTTGGGCACCAAAAATCGCAATGCTCTAGCGTGGTCAGTAAATAATTTGGAAATGTTACCTCTTTAGGTCCCACATTCTGACCACGTTTCCTGCAGCTGCATATAGAAAAGTGCCTGTTGGATTTAAGGCAATCTGATTTATCTGGTTCTCACCAGCTGGAATTGTAACTGTTCTATTGGTATTTCCAGAGCAAACATCCCCTGGCATTGCCTGGCCTGAAGATCTTCATTTTGTAAGGGAAAAGAACAAAACAAGACAAGATTGGATTAGATTTTTTTTTTAAATGAGTACTAATGTCATCTGTCCATTGTTGAACACAATAAAACAATGGGGTGATAGACACCATTTTAAATGGAAAGCTTCCAATTTATTTATTTATTTAACATATTTATGTAGCTGCCCATCTCACTAAAAGTGACTCTGGAAAGCATACAAGCAATAATGAAAATAATAATGCAACTAGTCCACAAGATGGTTGCATTCTATGTGAGATTTGGATGCATTCTCCCATGATCTTATTTATATTTTATATTGTTTTAAAGGTTATTTAAGATTTGTTTTGTTTCTTTTACTGCATGCCACCTAATACACCAATGAGAAGGCAGCTATATACATTTGATTAAAAAATACAAAAAATAATGTATATTTATCACACATCTTGTTAACATTGAGTGTTCTAATCAGGCAGACATTAAGACCCAATTTAATGTGAATTGATTCTCTCTTCCCTTTGATACATATGTAAAGGTAAAGGATCCCCTCGCACATACATGCTAGTCGTTTCCAGCTTTAGGGGGCGGTGCTTCTCTCCATTACAAAGCCAAAGAGCCAGCACTATCCGAAGATGTCTCCGTGGTCATGTGGCTGGCATGACTAAACGCCGAAAATGCTCGGAACGCTGTTATCTTCCCACCAAAGGGGTCCCTATTTTTCTACTTGCATTTTTACATGCTTTCAAACTGCTAGGTTGGCAGAAGCTGGGACAAGTAACGGGAGCTCACTCCATTACATGACGCTAGGAATTCGAACTGCCGAACTGCCGACCTTTCTGATTGACAATCTCAGCGACGTAGCCACTGAGCCACCGTGTCCCCTTTTGAGATAGAAGAGGCCTAATTTAGTGGTTTCCTCCATGATCTGTGATAACCTGAACTCTCTTGTTAAAAAGATGAGAAATGCTTCGGGCAGAGTCAAGACCAGCTGCCTTGGCTTTGAGAAGACTTTCAAAATGTACTTGGAATCAGAGGGTGATGCAGTATAAGGAAAATCAGAAGATAAATTACATGCTTCTCTTTTTACAACTTAAATTAATGTGTCACCCTTGTTTACAGTGTTTAATTTAGAGCTCCTTGCCAGAAAAAGTTTGATTTTGTTTTCTCAGACTGCATCGGGGGCTTTATTTTATCTCAGACTGCATATACCTTACAAGTAATTTGCCAGCTTAGTGAGATTTACCCAAAAGTTAAAGAAAACAAAACTTTTTTGAGCCTGTGTATTCTGCATAATTATAATTGTCTTGGCATTTACTCCAAAAACTATTAATATTGTAAGATTACATTTTTGTTTTTTAGAGTCTCAACTTACGTTAGAGTTCGGATACATTTAGCAGAATCGCGGATGTCCCACACCTTAATATAAGATGTTGAGACTGTGAACACCAAACTAGTATAATTACAGTATTTTACAGATACAACATTGTTAGGATGACCACTCAGAGACATGATTTCCTGTCCAGTAACCAAATTCCATACTTTACAGGTGCGATCTAAAGAAGAAAAAAATTACAACAAATAAAACACATTAGATTATTTTGCACAATACCTTCAGCTTATTTGTTGCTTCATATTTTCAGAAATTATGTAAATATTGGTATAAGATACAAATCAATGTTTAACAATTATCTTTAAAAGTTATTCAAAGGGTCATTTAATACTAGCAAAGGAACAAACACATAAGTGGCAAAAATTTTATGTAAGAAACATTAAAATTGAGAGCAGACAATAATATTTTCATTTTAAAAAACGGAAAGTAGGATACTTAAAACAAAAAGTAGGATACTTAAAAAATATTTGGCTAGATGTCAAAGGGGTTTTTTAATTGTAACATCCTATAATTATATTTTATAGCAACTGAAGTTTCAATTTATTTCAAAAAGAATTTCATGTGCACCACACTACAATAATTTAACAATAAGTTATAACATATGGAATACAGACTTGCTTTGTAAGAATCTCGCTAAAAGGAGTGCCCTTACAGAAAAGGATGGTACCAAATAACAAAAATCCACAAATGCTTGTAAATAACTGATAGGGAAAAGCAACATTTCCAGCAAAACATCGTGTCCTAGGGATCACATCCAAACTATTCTACCAGAAGCAATCATTTATTCTAGTTAGTTTTCCAAGGAGCTCTGAGGTAATTTAGCAGTTGTAATAAAATACAGTCAAATGAAAAGGTCGATTCATTGATTAATTTGTTGACAAAATACTTCTAATATTAATAGAAATAAAAAGAAGTGTGAGTGACTTCTTAAAATTGGCATATTACATCTGTACATAAGAAACCTGGGGATCTGAAATGCAGGTGATTCTTTTCAAGCTCTCCAGAAAGCATATAGTAACTAGGAAAGTACTCGGCTGAATGATGCACCTTTTATCAGAAGTGGGTTTTAGTGGATATAGAAAATCTGTAAAAGGTAAACGTTCCCCTCGCACATATGTGCTAGTTGTTTCCGGCTCTAGGGGACGGTGCTTATCTCCGTTACAAAGCCAAAGAGCTAGCACTGTCCGAAGACGTCTCTGTGGTCATGTGGCTGGCATGACTAAAAGCACGGAACGCTGTTACCTTCCCACCAAAGGGGTCCCTATTTTCCTACTTGCATTTTTACATGCTTCCGAACTGGTAGGTTGGCAGAAGCTGGGACAAGTAACGGGAGCTCACTCCATTACACGGCACTAGGGATTCGAACCGCCGAACTGCCAACCTTTCTGATCAACAAGCTCAGTGTCTTAGCCACTGAGCCACCGTGTCCCCCCAGAAAATCTATACACTGTTAAAATGCCAGATTTTTGAGATGTAAAAAAATCAGACCAAGATAATCACTTCAGAATTCAGGTTTCTCCAAGGTTCCTTCCTTGGCCTGGTATAGTGAGCCTTCTCTAAGAATAGCCAGCCAAGTTTGCAAAACAGCTGTACTAACTACAGGTAGTCCTCAACTTACAACTGCAATTGAGCCCAACGTTTATGTGGCCATAAGTCACTTTTTTTCAGTGATGTTGTAACTTTGAATGGCCACTAAATGAACTGTTGTAAGCCAAGCATTATCTGTATCTTGACATTCTAAAAAAGCTGATGGTCAGTAGCAGCAAAACCCACCTATCATGGCAAGTTAATGGCCATAATTGAATGTTACACTAGGCCTGGCACTTTAGGAAAATAAATAAATGAAAAACAATTTTTTACACAAGTTTTGGAGAAAAAATAAATAAATTGAAGTAGGACACTTTTTGAATTAGCCATTTGAAGCAGTCTTTTTGCAAGCAATTTGGAGCTTTCAATGTTGTTAATTACTGCGTGTGCGTGTGAATCGTCAGCTTGCTGCCTGGACAGCTGAGGAGCGCTGCGCGCAGGTGTGCAGCGGTTGAAAAAGCACTTTTTTTCCAGCTGTTTTAACCACAGTTGTGCCGTGCAAAGCAGCTGAGGTTGAAAAAGCAGGAAATAAAGGTCAGGTAAGAGCCCGGGTGGGCCAAAACAGCAGCAGACATAGAACCGGTTCTATGTCTGCTGCTCTTCAGAGCTACCGGTTCTACAGAGTCAGACAGAACTGGTAGAATCTCACCCCTGGTTAAAACGTTATTACTTATTAATAATGTTGCCATTATTGTTGTGAATCTCTTGAAGGAGTACAGTTTATAGATACTGTCCTCTAAAAGTTTTATTATCCCTGCGATTGCTAGTGTTATCTTGTCCTGCCCCCCAAAAATATTTTTGATGCTTCCTCATTATGGTATATCCCGCAGCTCTATTTTTTCTCAGTCAAATTTCACATTGCTCCAACTTGAATCCATTTGCTCTTGAATCTTGAATTGCAAACTTGCGTGCCTCTTTTATTTGACTCTCCAATCTTCAATTAAAATGTAATAAACAGATTCACACAGGCTTAAAACATAACCTGTTATTCTTAGAACATTTCATGGCCCATTGGTAACCCCATCAATACTGAAAGCAAACTTCAGAAAGCTACATAAACACCACGGAAACCCATCAAACCTTTTGATCCAGTGAAGAGAAGATCGTCAGTAGAATCAACACAAAGCACAGCCTTCATATGACCTTCAGCAATATAGATACATTGAACTGGGGAGGGTCGGACATATTTTGGAGAAACTGGGTTGATTATGCCTCTAAATGGGAAAAAGAAGCATATATTAGTCATAGTATCAGGTCATTTTAATCAGATTTTACTTTTCCAGTCACCTAGCCCTGCATTAGTGGAAATCTTTCATGAAGATATAGATTAAGCATATGAGCCATGGTGGCGCAGTGGTTAGAATGCAGTACTGCAGGCTACTTCTGCTGATTGCCGGCTGCCTGCAATTTGGCAGTTCGAAATTCACCAGGCCCAGGATTGATTCAGCCTTCTATCCTTCTGAGGTGGGTAAAATGAGGACCCAGATATTTTTTTTTGGAGGGGGGGGGGAATAGGCTGACTCTGCTTAGAGAGGGCTGTAAAGCACTGTGAAGCGATACACAAGTCTAAGTGCTATTGCTATCTATGAATTTATACCTGGTGTGGTTACATAACAGGCCATACACTTGTTCTTTGATCAAGTGAATTTTTCCCAGCCTGTGCTTGTTGATCAAGAGAACAGCAATGGAAAAGATTAGCTTGATCATGGCCAAAGGGTTCTGAGGAACACACATATTTACAGATACTATCTTCCAGCACAATAGGCAGGTCCAATTACTGTCCTTAGTTAATCGCTGTTGCTTCATTAAGAGACAGATTAAAAAAAATATGGCCAAATCAGAGTTTGAATTGTACCGAACAGGGCAGTATGTTTCCTATAACCAGTCTATTTACTTATCCAAATCCATATTCTATGCTAAGGAAAATTAAATTATTCCCAAAAATATTTACTAGCATTTTTGAATTATTAAAAAAATGAAGGGGAGAGGGCAAATTTTCTCATGGTGTCCTTTACCTAATCATAGCTTATAGTATGTGTGAGTATGCATATTCTCATACATACAGTTTTATTCATGATTGTACACACATATATTACTATTTGGTAATGATACTAACAAAATAATCTGCAAAGTCCCTGAATGATCCTTGGATGATTTCCGAAACAATTTATGAAAGATTTTAATTTTCTTCATTGAGCCTACAGACAGCAGGTTCTTGGAATAAAGCTCTCTCAACTTCCTATAGCCGTACAAACTTCTGATCCAGAAATCCAGAAAACAGCAATGGAAGTGCAGCAGGAGAGTTTTGAAGAAAATTATTCTATGAGCTCCTGGATCAAAGAACCTTTTTCAGCAGAGTGACACATCTACACTTGCATGACCTTGTAACAAATTAAGCAGCATTTAGTTTGGTTAGTATTTGGATTAAAGATTGTGAAGAAATCCCAGGGCTCTAGTTTAGTGTAGAAAGCTGAAAAAACATTTCAAAAGGCAATGGCAAACCACTTCTCCACTGACACTAAGAAAATATCACGGACTTCGAAACTTCCGGTTGCAAGGCTTCAGCGGCAGCAGGAATCCGCGACTCTGCGGGTCCCTGCTGCGCTCGCCGCTGAAGTACCCCCGATCCAATCGGATTTGGGGGTTGTCGTTACCCTGGAGAGGTAACGGAAGACAGAGGAGATCCGGACAGGGGTTTGGGGATATCGCAACCCCTTTCCCCAGCCGGCTAGACTCCTTTTTCCTAAGGCGGTGGAGCGGCGGTCAGCAATGGCCACCACAAAGAAATCTTCAACCGGTTAAGACTGTGCAGGAGGAAGAGTTTGAAAGTGAAAGTTTTTTGGCTAAACCGGGACATTAAGATATATCCAAACACCCTGGAAATCTGACTCTTTGAACGATATATTGTTTCCAAAGGAGACTGTCAAAGCGGCGAATGAAAGTGCTGAAAGGGAAAGTTCACTCTCCTTCCTTACGGAGATAGCAAACGGACATTGAAAAACCTGCTTTTACATAGAAGGTAAAAATTAAAAGCTCTTTGTTATAAGTGGGAAGGGAGAGCACTAAAAAAAATTTATACTAAGACTTTGTTGGAGGAGACGCTTGAAGATTATAAGACCAGAAATTAATTGTAATAAGGCTTTAAAATACATTTTGGGACTTTGTAACTGATACTGCCCCAGGAGGAGAAAGTGTAAAGGGAAAAAGATGAAACATTTTGTGTCTGTTTGGATTGCTTGATGATTTTGGGACTTTTGGAAACTATTCTAAGATTAAAAACATTTGGGTTGTTTTTTTTAAAAAAAAGAAGAAGAAGAAGAAAAAGCTTTTACAATGGCATTATCTGTGGATGAATTAAAAATGGAATTTGAAAAATTAAAGGAAGAAGAACAAGAAGGCAAGGGCTCTTTGGGAGCTGTTTTCCATTTTTTAGAAATGGTGATTTCTACCTACCAGCAAATACAACAACAAGAGGATTGGGAGGAAGAAGAAGAAGAAGAGGAAGAAGCCAACTTTAATGGACAAAAAATCTTAATTAAGAAAGAAAAGAGGGGAAGGAAAATAGAGAATTTAAGAGTTAAAAAAACAACCAAGAAAGAGAAAAATAAGGTGAAAAATCGATATAATGTCAGAAAGCAACAGAAAAGAGGAATACAACAGAGAGGGGAAGCTAAAAAGGCGGAGGTTAGGAGATGGGGGGGGGGGGTAAAAAGGCCAGATTGGATAAGAAAGGAAGGGAAAAAGGGAAAAAAATCCACAAAGGCTTGAAACAAGATGGAAAAAAGCAGATTTTTTTTAGAGACAAAGGGTAAAGTACAATTTAAAAAAGATTCTGCAAAGTACATAAAATAGTATTGTAGCATTTGTATTTGAAATAGAAAACTGGAATATTATAAGATCTAACAAAATATTAAAATATTAAAATGCTTAATGATAGATTTCAATATGTAATAAAATATTAAAGGGAATGTGTAAAATGTTTAACTATCTGCTATTGTTTTAATGTTATTATAAAATTTATCACTTCATTTTTTTTTAAATAATGTATTAAGCAGAATTAGAATGGAAATTATATATTTAACTATATTACAAATTTATCATTTTCCTATTTTAAAATGTAACATGTAGAATGTACTAAGCAGAATCAGAATGGAAATTATGCATTATTTCAAGTGTTAAATTAAGGGGAAAGATAGAAGGCGTCATACTTCAACCAGTGATTACAGGGGAAATTTTCTGTTAAAGAGAAGAGATAAATAGATAATTGGAAAAGAACGGACAAAAGATACAAGTATAATGATTTAAATTAAGATGAAATAAACAAAATATAATTAAGAGAGTGAAAAGAGGGGAGAAGTTATATAGAAAATATAGAATGGTAAATAAGATAAGTAATGGTATATAAGGTGAGCATGAATTTGATTTAGGTCTGTAAAAAAGATGTAACCCGGGGCTAAGCCACTTTCCAAAAAGTAGTTTTATGTTTTGTATTTTGTGTGTTTATGTTTGATTGAGAATTAAGAAAACCTTGATAGAAAGAAATATAATTGAATAAAAGTAAAGGGAGAAATAACGAGAAATTTGGAAAAGATATATATGTGCTTAAATGGAAATGTGATAATTTGGAACTATGCTGTACAAAATAATGTTTCATTTGCTTTGTTAAAACCTATAAGTAGCTTTTAGAAAGGAGGTTTTATGTTCCTATGTCTTATGTTTTGTTTGTCTTTAAAAAATTAATAAAATTTGTTTATAAAAAAAAGAAAAGAAAATATCATGGACTTTTCCAGGTAATCAAATTTGGCTCCAGGGGATCAGAAGTTTATAAACCTCTGTAAACAAGGAGACAACATTTAAAATTTGGATGCGGAAAAAATAAGTTTAATGATGTATCAGATGCATATTTCTATCTCATATCGATCAGCAAATCACTATCCCTGAGATTATATTAAAGCAGGGCCAATTGAATAGTGCATTTTCAAGACGTGAAATCTAAATTATAAAGTGAAGAAGTACAGAAGTCAATATTCTTATACTCTGTAGAATATATCTATAGCAGACCTGAAAGATCTTATATATTAAGATGCTAATGTATAATAAGTTATTGATTAGGACTGGAATATAATTGAAGCATGTATAGTTTTATATTTGCTTAAGGAATGTAACTAATTGTTGTATCAAGAAAAAGACAATAAATACCATAGAAAAAACTTAAGTGTTAATAAGAGTCTTCTATTTCTAACAAATTTGGATGTTTAAATAGTAAATGGTTCAGACTCTTTGTATCTTTCAAATATATGTGCTTTATGTATAAATAAAAACTTGCAGGCATATCATATATATGTATATTTAAGATAACTAGAAAGTGAAGAGTGAAAACAGGCAATAAAGACAGAATGAAGTCAGTCAGTAAAAGTTGGGTTGCAAGCAAGGAAGATAGAAACTATTTCAGAAAAAAACTTGTATGTTGTACCAGAAATTTCCAATAAAATAAAAACAAGCTAAACTGATAATCATTCCATTCCAAAAAAAGGAATCAAATGTGCCAAGAATTTGTGCAAATGGGCAATAGATATATAGAAATAGAAGTCTATGTGTCAAGAGATAGACACTCTCAGTAACAATGAATGAAGAAGCAATTAGAATCAGTTCTAAGTATTTGACAGTGTTGTTACCTGAAAAATATTACTTGTTACTTCATTCTGTACATATATAAATGAAAGCACAATTTAAATACCGGGCAGTTGAAGAAAATTCTTATAAATAATTTCTAATTTGCAATATGTTGACTCAGGAATTCTTCGACTTTTAGTTATATCCTAGTCTCCTGTACTGAGAATTGGTTGCAGGTGTGTTTAAGACTGACAAATGCTCGTGTGATTATTGATAATTTTTATTTCCTTTACTCTGATGGCACAGATTTCCCTTACAGATGAGCTGCTTTTATAGCACCTTTAAGATTCAAGAACTGTTGTGAATGTATGTGAATGTAAAATGAAAACATGTCTTTCCTATCTAGTTCATTATAGGCTGTCATTTCAACAAAACAAATTGAGAATGTTTGCCATGAGTGTATTAAAAGATTAGAGAGAGAAAGACATAAGTAAAAACAGGCACACCACTCGGACATGATTTCCAAAGAGAAATTAGTGCACATGCTAGATATATATATATATTTTAAAAATCAAACAGAATAAGAATGCTTCAGAAAAAATAAATAAAAATGATCCAAGAGACATATGAACGTTTTGAGAAGCATGGGATTTTTTTAAAAAAATCATGCAAAAATGTTTAGTTAGTTAATTCAAGAACTGCAAGTAAAAATGTTAAGCGTAACACGAAGAGTCCAGAAGATGGAAAGAAGGAATACAAAGTACCTGTGTACTTCCGACAGGGAAGAATCACTTTCATCAGACCTACAATAAACAGTAGCAAGATTATGAAGAGAGATTATAGATATCATCAGAGTAAAGAAAGAAAAGGGGGAGAGGGTAAAAGCGGCATTGTTACGAAAAGGTAGGGGAAAAACAGTGTGTAAACTACACCCAAACAGGCCTAACCAGGTTTGGTAATGATAGAAGAATATGCAAAAAACCCTTTTCACCAGGGAAAAAGGGAGATTCTAACAAACAGACTTTCTACAAGCCATTTCCAGCTTCCTTGATTAACTCTTTTTAAAAGCTTCAAGAGAGAACTTTGATAAGATGACTGAATTTAACAGGTAACTTTCTGCCTTTTTGTTCATTTATACATGCATCGGGCGGTGGGGAGAGAGAGGGAACCGGGATCACTTTTGCAATCGCAGTCAAAAGCATAATTGCTGATAAAAAGATTAACCCTTTGTGTTTTCTTCTTTTGAATCAAAGCAGAGTTATATGTTTTATAAATAGCCCGGTGTCGAAGAATGCATCAGTATACTTTTAACAATTGAAGATACTGCATTCCTCAACACAATCGATCAGTTGAAGTCTGAGTAACAATTATGAAAGCTCAAAACAGATCAATCTTGTATACCCTTATGTCCAATTTCAATAATTAACACTATGGAGAATTGCTATTTCTTTTTGCTACTATAAAATAGTTCCAAGCATAGGCTAAAAGATCTCAGTAGATTATAAGAACTGTTAGAAACATATATAGCAATCGCAGATTTGGGAGGGGGAAGATATTAAAGACAAAGTATGGAAAGGCCAGACAAGGAATGAAGAAAAAAAAAAGGCCCTCATACTACTGCCAAAAACATAAAAGTTAAACACAATATATTAGCTGTGAAAATGCACCACGCTTGCAATAAAGAATCTGGATGAATTCAAACGGCTACCACTGAAAAATAAATAAATACTGCACAAAGCAAGTACTAAAATTTCCCCTAGTCGATATTTCCAGTTCTTCCTTTACCCTCAAAAGTGTGGTTTCAGGCAAATGAGAGTGCAGATTGCATTACACCGCAATGCAATAATTATATGAATGCTGGCACTGCATCATTCAACAGCACAGGGTATTCCCATGCCTGGAAAAAAAAACATTTAAATGAAAAACTGGCTATTCGGAGGTCACAAGAAAAATGATTTTACACAGGCAGAAGTATAAATTTATGTACATTTCAGCAGGAAATGTTTATGTAATTAGGAATGTTGTATTTTAAAGAGTGTGTGGAAGCAACAAATGAACTATTTTTTTAGCTCTTAGCATGAGATGGCCATAGCCAAAGCATTCTGAAGCTCTGTTGCAGGCTCACATGCGCTTTGGGTACCATCACTGCTGTGGGGAGTTGGTTCTTTGTGACTTACTTATCCTTCTGAACTGATGGGCTTCCCTGAGAAACAGTGAGACGGTTAAAAACATTCATTTCATTACGGGGCCGGCTTGGTGGGGAAGGAGGAGGTGACAGACTAGCCTCTGAGGTTCCAGAATCTGAGCTACAAGAAAAAAATTAAAACATTAAAAAAACCAATTGTAAATAAAATAAAAAATAAAAATAATTTAAAAAGCAAATGAAACAAAGAGGTTAAAATTAAGAAAGTATGCTAGGGACTATAGGTCACTTGATGCCTGCTTGCTTAATTGAGTCATGTTTACTGCAAGCTCCTCTGGTAGAATGTAAAGATTATAAAGCATACCACCACAAGATGGCAGTATAACAACTTAAAACAAAGGCTACCCAAAGGGGAAAAAAATGCAAATATGAGACCCCTACAATGGAAAACACCGTTTCAAGATTGAGAACCCTCAATAATAAGTCGTCAACATTAAGGAAGTTTACATACCGCTTTTCAGTGTGCCATTAAGTGAGATGCAGACGTAGAATTACAAAGGCAGTTTCTTCAACAAAGCAAAACCACTCTCCATTTCGTACAACACAATGAATAAAATCAACATTTAAAGTTAAGCATCTTACTGTTTTTGTTCTTTTGACTTTGGCTTATCTATGGATTTATCATAGCTTTTTCTCTTTGATACAGGTGACGGTTCTGGTATTTTTTTTTCTGTTGGAGATGATGACTGTTTGGACCTGTCATAACAGAAAAAAGAAAACTTGGGTGAACAATCATAATTCGATGGCTGCGATTATCAGAGTTTTGCTGAAGTTAGTTGACAAAGCATCACCAGATTGTTAAAAAATATTTTCAGTAATTGCAAGATACGGATTTTTTTCATGTACTATTATAAGCCATGCAGAATGGGATAGGCAGCATAACTCAACTGTAAGCAAGTAAGTATAAACAGTTTCCCAAGAGTGAATGTACTTGAAACACATGTTATTCTTAAAGGTATCATGTCAAGGATTTTTGGATCAGGATTTCCAAAATTGTGAGGTGTATTTTCCTTGGAGAGGCACAGACAGAGCCCAGAAGCAGTATGAAAAACCTTTTAGTTGTACATTGTTATAATAAATCCAACTTTTCCCCAAGTTTCATTGTATTGTTTTCATTCATTCAGAGCCATGGTGGCGCAGTGGTTAGAGTGCAGTATTCCAAGTGTGGCCTTACTAAGGCATTATAAAATGGTAGTAACACTTCAGGTGAACTTGATTCACTTTATATAAGTAGTCCTCGACTTACGATCACAATTGAGCCCAAAATTTATGTTGCTAAGTGAAACATTTGTTAAGTGAGTTTTGCCCCATTTTACGATCTTTTTTGCCACAGTTGTTAAGTGAACCACTGCAGCTGTTAATTTAGTTAACCCGGTTGTTAAGTGAATCTGGTTTCCCCATTGACTTTGCTTGTCAGAAGGTTGCAAAAAGGGATGATATGACCGCTGGGACACTGCAATTGTCATAAATATGAGCCAGCTGCCAAACTTCTGAATTTTGAACATGTGACTAAAGTTCACAATATTGTTAGCATGAAAAGCTGTCATGTCCCTTTTTTTCAGCACCGTTCTAACTTTGAATGGTCCCTAAATGAACTGTTGTAAGTCGAGGACTGCCTGTATATCTAAATACGAAAACAGACACAGACTTCAGAGGTTAATTAGGACTGCAATAAAAACAATTACTGCCAACCTGCCTTCAACCAAGGACCTGTATGTATACTGCACGAGTCAAAAAGAGGGCTATGAAAATACTGACCCCTCACATCCTGGACATAAACTGTTTCAACTCCTACTCTCAAAACGATGCTATAGGGCAGGGGTCCCCAACCACCAGGCCCCGGACCGGTACTGGTCCGTGGAACATTTTCTACCGGGCCGCCGGTTTGCTGGGCGCCGCCATCTTGTTTTGATGGGAAAGTGCTTCCGGTGAGCTTTTCCGGTTGGAAAGCGGCGTTTGGGTCCTGAAGGAATCCTCGCACCTTAGTTTCATCGAGGGGGGGGGGCGGCTTCGAACAAAACTAAGGCGCGAGGATTCTTTCAGCACCCAAGGCAAGGCGAGCTGAGCGACCGTCCCGAAGCCCATTGACAAAGGTACAAAGGAGCAGTTGAAGGTGGCGGGGAGAAGTGGGGGATGGCTGGCTGGCCGGTCACTCGGCTCGCCTTGCCATGCGTGCTGATGCCGGTACCGGGCCGCGGATCATTTTGTGATGCCGGTACCGGGCCGTGGCACAAAAAAGGTAGGGGGCCACTGCTATAGGGCAGTGATCCCCAACCTTTCTTATGCTGCGGCCCGGTATCCCCAACCTTTTTTATGGCGCGGCCCGGTACCGGCATTAGCTGGTTTTCTACCCGGAAAAGCTCAACGGAAGCGCTGGCGCTGCCATCTTTTTTTGATGAAAAAGTGCTTCCGGTGAGCTTTCTACCCGGAAAAGCTCACCGGAAGCACTTTTTCATCAAAAAAAGATGGCGGCGCCCAGCAAACCAGCGGCCCGGTAGGACTTGTTCCACGGACCGGTACCGGTCCGCGGACCGGTGGTTGGGGACCCCTGCTATAGGGCACTGCGCACCAGAACAGCTAGACATAAGAACAGCTTTTTCCCGAAAGCCATCACTCTGCTAAACAAATAATTCCCTCAGCACTGTCCAACTATTTACAAAGTCTGCACTATTATTACTATTAATCTTCTCATCACTCCTTATTGCCCATCCCCTCCCATTTATGACTGTATGACTGTAACTTATGATATATATTGACTGTTTCCTAGTATGATTTGACTGCTTATTGTATCCTATGACTATTATTAAGTGTGGTACCTTATGATTCTTGACTCTTCTTTTATGTACACTGAGAGCATTTGAACCAAGACAAATTCCTTGTGTGCCCAATCACACTTGGCCAATAAAAGAATTCTATTCTATTCTATTCTATTCTATTCTATTCTATTCTATTCTATTCTATACAATAAATAAAAACTATTCATTTCTATTCTTGTACAATTTTTAGACTGAGTTTAGGGTTACAATTCAAGAACCTGCTATGCAGAAATATCTAATACTAGAACTCTGTGATAATTGCACTGGAAACCACTGAAGTTCTTTTGTACAAAAAGTTGCTCTCTGGGTATCCTGAAGACAAATGAAATGTGGCCGAACACGTATTAAGGAGCCAAGAGGGAATCGGTGCACTATACATATCTTACATGCCGGCAGCCTTAGAAGGCAAGGGGAACTGCAACAGGAGGCCTTCTCTGTCTCTGGCAGAAGGTTCTTTCGTGTCAGAATCCATTCCACTTTCTTGAGCTTCTGCAACCGAAGTTAGAGGACTCGACACAGCTGACTCTACAGCACTGACATCCGATGCTAAGTCACCACTATCAGCATAAAGTAGCTCCATCTGGGTTGTTGTCCTACGGCGTGCCTGAAATAGATTGAAAAAGGAAGAACAATACAGTAACACAATCTATTCTTTTTCAAGACTGACAGAATGGTTTGAAATGAACATACAACGGTATCATTTACTCAATCCTAAAATAAAATTATTCCTGGTTCTCTATGATGACAAAGGCAGCTGTAGCCTGAAGGTAACTAGTTCCATTAATGGTTTGTTGATCGCTAGTAATAAATGGGCTATAAAACTGTGAAGGTTAGTATCAGGATTCTGGCAGTTACCCCATTTAAATCACAGTCTCGAGCCATACTTCCAAAACTTCAAAGGATTTATTGGGAGTTAACATGTCCGGCACTGCCTGGCTATAGCCAACTCTGAGACACATCATTCATTGTCACCCTTGACCCTGGTTTCCCCCAACTCCTGGGTATATAATAATTCATATTCTCCAATGAGACACATCCATAGCCAAGAGTCATCAATCATGTTCTCTAGTTAGATTTTTGCACAACAGAAACTTCAGTCACCTAGTTACTATTTCTGAAAAACTATGTATGGAATGCACTTTCGATTTCCAAGCTGCCACACTGCTCTTTCAAACCCCTTTCCCCCCTCCCTTTCTGTTGGCAACTCTAAAATGACCATAGAAATATTTTATGAGTTGTCAGTAAGGTTACTCTTACTATTCTTCTGATCCCCTTTGTCAACATAGAAAGCACAAAGACAAAAACACCCTGAATGAGAAAACTCTCTTATTTTCTTCCAGCTTTCAGTCAATCAATTAAATCATGAAAAGAATAGAAAAACCTGGAAGAAAACTTGTCAGCAAAGACTACAAAAACTTGGCGTCAAAAAGAGATTTATCACTCCCCTTCTAGCATTCTGAATCTGAGCAGTTTCAAAAGCTGGAAATGAGCTGAAGACACCCTGTTTGGACACAACGATGGCACTGCTATCTAAAATTCTGCCATACTATTGACCGCAGCAGGTGCCAGGATCTAACTGATCTTGATGGACCTTTTAAAAACCTGAGCAAAGTTGATTCTGGATGTGAGAAGATCAGGAAATCTCTAAGCATAGCCTAGATTTGAAAACATCTGGCCCCCATCCCCAAAATATAGTATCAAGCCATTTCTTTATTGTTGCCAAAATGCAAAAAAGTTTTATCATTACAAGTTTAATTCAATATGAGTTCTTTACCTTTATAGCTTACCTTATTTTTAGGCTTGACTTCACTACAAAGTTTCATAAGATCTGAAGATAAAGAACTGCAAACAAGAACATACATTTAGTGATAAGATCTCATGGAAACAAGGTACCCCTTCCTCCTATTATAAATTTAAAACTTATATGGCCATTCATCTTTTGTGTCATAACTTTGGATGGTCCACAATAATAGTAATAATTCCATAGAAGGAATAAAAAAATACCATCCCAAAAGCAATTCACATTGCCCTAAAACAAGGGTGTCAAACTCAAGGCGTGCAGGCTGGATGCTTAGATCTAGCCTGCAGGGCCACCCTGGAAAGAGCCAAGGACCGGCCCACGGTGCCTCTGCCAGCAAAAACAGAGCTCGGAAAGGGCCACCCACGACCCTCCTGAGCTCCGTTTTTACTGGCAAACGGTTGCAGGGGGCTGTCGCAGCCAAAAATGGAGCTTGGGAGCCCACTTTCTCTAGCAGAGTGCTCAAGCCACCACAGGCGCCCCTGACACAAGTGACGTCAAACTGGCCAGGCCCCCACTGCCCACCCCCCGAGCTCAAATACAACCCTGATGCAGCCCTCAATGAAATTGAGTTTGACACCCCTGCCCTAAAGCAACACTCTCCAATACATAAACAATAATAATCACTGGGCTCCAGCCTCATTCTATCCTTATGCTTTGTGGGAAAGCCCACTTTTAAAACCTTCTGGAAGTCAGGTCTGACATATAAGCTCATCCTTTGATTGTTATCCCATAAACATGTTCTTACTATAATATAGTTTTCTTTCCGCCATAACTTGTGTGACAAGAGATACAGATATTCAACACATGAAAGGCTCCCCCAAAGTAATGACTGAATAGTGCTATGATTCAAGATGTTGCATTTATCTACATTTTTTTCCTAACGAGGACTAACAAAGAGAAAATTGGCCCTAAGAGCCAATTCTGGGTTTATAATTTGTTTTTATCCAGATATATGTGACTGAGATGTATCCAGAATTCATATCTCATATCTATTCTATATGTTGATATACATATATACATCTCTGTGTGTGTGTGTGTGTGTGTATGACAGTGTGGATATAAAAATAGATCCTCAAGAACTCAAACTAAGCGATATATAAACAAAGATTCAATCATCCAGGCCAGAAGTATCTATTTTTCATATGGGGGAGAAACCCCCCCCCCCCCCCCCCGCAGTCTCTATGGCAAGAATTGGTTCATTCCAGTGACTCTCTGACTCGCTGCCTACCCAAATATTCGTTTTGACTGAAGAAGTTACTCGGATAAATAATGAAATGTCTCAAGTTTAATAACATTTAGTCCAGTTGCCATGATTTAACCTTTTTAGATACAAGCTAAGCTATGTTCTTACAGTTAAGGAACATGTGTTAACAATCTACAACCACAGCTTATCCCCTTAGCTTACCTTTATTTGCTATAAGAAAATACCGAGAAAGGTTATATTGAAAATTTAATGACTATCGTTTGCATTGGTCTCACCTTCCTTCAGCCCCAGGACTATTCAAAGGAGCCTCTTCATCAGTACTGTCTTCCACGTTTTCTAGAAAATTTTCAAAATCATTATGTTTGTTAGTCAATTTCAAATCAACAAAATATATACCTGTTGTTTAGAACTTTTGAAACTATCTAAAGATCAGAGGGAGATTAATTAGTATTGTATAATATTCTAATATTGCTTTTTTACTTAAAATAACATTGAATTGAACTGACCTAGTTTCCCATAATACCCATAACCAGAATCCTTTATATTTCTCACTTTCTGAATCAGTAGGAATAGCTTATGTTTTCTCATTGTCTATCATCCATATACAGAACCAAATTGTAAAGACACCATCAAAAAAATAAAGATACTTAACAATGGCATAGCATCCCAGCACTTACTCCACCACATACTTACTGCTTCAAATAGTTATTCTGATTTGCATTAATAAAACATAAACTCATTAAATTGTTACTATAGCAATTTGCTTAAGAGAAACACTTGCTTGAAAGCTCCGTGTAACGAATGCCAAATAGGGTTCCCGTTTTATTGCTGGACATAAATTCAACATTAATATTCACAAGAATATTAGTAACTAGAAGGAAACCATTTCAATATATTGAAACAGTAATTTCTGTCATCCAATATTTATTTTCATCTAGTGCCATCTGAAGCTGGATAAAACCTTCTGAAGAGCACTATATGAATCAAGGATCAAAAGAAAACTTTAAAAACATTAACAGTAGTAGTTGTTCAAAACTCTAAGTAGATATATCAAATAGAGATTTAAAAACATTCTGAGATCAAAATACCAAAATAGAGGACAAAACCCCAAAATGCCCATTATAAGCATTCAGATGCCGAGAGACCTCTGTTTCACAGTTGGAGTAGCCTGTTTTAAAGGAGGAGGATCACTTTCTGTAGTTCAGAAATAGACTATTCCAAAATCAAAAGTAAACTTCCAAAATTATGCCAATGAACCAAGCGAAATTGTGCCACCTTCAATTCTGCTTGAGAGTTAGTAAGCAGACTCTTTAATTTAACCAAAAGGACAAAGACAAAATTTGGGGTGAAATATAATTTGCCAGAATGCCTCACTCTCAAGTAAGACCACACAGGCTTATCTAAAGATATTGCAGTTTGTTGTGTAAGAAACATAAGAGCATAATTTTGTAATGAAGGAAAGCAAATCAGCAAAAGAGCTATAAGTTTATCTTGGATATTGGCTTCTGTAGTATATAGCTGAAGGGAATGCTAGCTATATATATATATTGTCTACTTTATCTCCATTCTCTCTGAAGTGAGAGAAGTATATGAAGGCTAGGGAGAGGACTTTGAAATCCAATTTGATCACATGAATAATAGATAAGCTGGTAAAAGAATGTCAGAGGGATTCGAGAAGAGATCAAATAGAGGAAGTTTCAGGACAAGACAAAACCTTGCATGGGATGCACCACCAATAGACAAGTTGAGGTGACAGACTGGAAAATCCTTAGTGGGTGGAAAGGACTGGATTAAAAGACAGCATTGAGGCACTAGGCCCCAGATCCATAGAGGCATACCAGACAGAGCCCAAGGTGAGACTATGCAAAGAGGCCTCCAAGACAGTCCAACACAACACAGCGGCAAGATGTAAGATGCAAGTAAGGAGCAGCAAGACACTAAACGACATAACCTTGTTGCTGGCATTGTGGTGGAACCAATAGATCCCATGAACAACACCAGAGCTGTCCAGAAGAGCACAATGATTGGAACAGTTAAGATATTGTTCTACTGCATAGAATCTTCAAACTCCCAAGCCTCTGGTAGAGGGGCTTGAGATTGAGGAAGACACATATCTTCCTCGTAGGGGGGAAGGGAATTTTAATATTATTTTGCCTTCAAGTCTGTCTTGACTCCTGCTGTTTTCTTAGCAAGATTTCAGAAAGGCCACTGTCTCCTTCCAAGGACTGAGAGAGTGTAACTGGCCCAAGATCACCCAAGTGGCTTGGTCTCTAAGGTGGGACTAGAACTCATGATCTTTTGGTTTCTAACCTAGTGCTTTAAATACTACACCAAGCTGGCTCTCTATACTTAATATAATAGCTAGTACAATTCAGTTGTAGCAAGTAGTAACTGGGCAACAGCTTTTTATTATTCTTGCTTAATGTGGATTGAAAAAAATACATATTTATATGTACTGATACTACACATATAACAAAGTATCTCATTTTAACACAAATTCGTTCTTGGCGCATTAAAAAATGGCATGTACTACCACTGAATATGCTTATCTACGCAATGCACATTTAAACATCCATCATATTTATAACAAAACTTTTCAAGTTAAACATTCAGTTCAGCATAAAGTAGAAAAAGCTACTAAAATGCGTTAAAATTATGTTTTCAACTTAAAAAAAATTGTTACATGTGTTACAGTAAGAACACAGCTGTATCAGGAACAGCCTAGTAGCTATAGCATTCAAATGAACAAAAACATAAGCTTTTAAGTACATTCACAATGGTTGCATTCATGCCTGTTTCAGTTATCATCCAACTAGTAATTTTTGGTAACAAAAGAAACTTCTAAATAAAAACAACTCCGTAAGCGTGTAACAATAAGCATTATCTGCATGGTGTCTGCAAGAGGGAAACAAATAAATTATAATTTGCTGTGTGATGACATCACTGTACATGACACCAATGTACATTTCCCAGATAGTACATGCAAACTTTATGGACATTCACACTCGATGATGTGCCAGTTAGTGTACACATATAATTATTAGTATCTCATGCAGCTATGCAGGACACAAAAAGCTATACATACTTACCCAATGGTATGCTATCTAGGTCTGTGTAAAACAACAGTAAGGAGGAAAATAAAATCAACACACCAATCAAAACCCATAAATTAGCAGAATGGCAAATCAAAGAGCCCTACATTGCATTATAAATGGATTAAGACTATCAGAACTATCAGAATAGATGCCATAGATGACACAAAACTAGCTTTTCTAGAACTAAATTTAAATGGTGAAAATTGTATTTGTAGACCATTTAATTTGTAGACCATTTAATTCTGCAGATAAAATTACTTGGTAATTGAATTCATGCTCTAAGACCAATTAACTAGATTTTTTCCCTTGCATTTCCTTTGTGAAGAACAGATAATTTGCAGTAAGAACCAAACCCCTTTAAATGCACTAACTTTGAGTCATATTTCATCATATAATTTAAATACAGCATCTATTCGTAAAACACTAAGGGAAAGACATTCCATATACCATGCTACATAAGCAAATCCAGCAAGCAATATAATTCCATTTTGTAGAACATTCAGATTACCTTGTAAAGCATGGCCCAATAAAGCGTCTAGTTCAGGATTTAATTCTGCTTTCTCTTTCAACATGTGAAATAAGAGTTGGTTTTGGGTAGTAGTGGTGATTTCAGTTTGCTTAAGGCGTCCTTCAAGAACTTTGATCTGAGCCTCTTTTTGAGCTGCTTGGAGACCCTATTGAAGATTTAAAAAACTGCCTTATTCTACTTCTTTTGAAAAGCCCCAATATGGGCAGCTACTTTACATACCCAAATAGGAATAGCACTTAGACTTACATATCGCTTCTTAGTGCTTTTACAGCCCTGTCTGAGTGGTCTACAGAGTCAGCCTGTTGCCCCAATAATCTGGCTCCTCATTTTACCGACCTCAGAAGGACGGAAGGCTGAGTCAACCTTGAGCCATTCAGAATCTAACTGCTGGCAGTCCACAGAACTAGCCTACAGTACTGCATTTTAACCACTGTGCCACCATAGCAAATGAATGCATTTTGTTACATATGGGAGCCCACCTAAACCCAGGGGAATAATCACTGAATACTAAAAGTGAAAGAAATGTATCTTCTGCCCTCCTAGTCAAACAATGGCTTCCCCTTCATTCTGTTGATTACCTTATTAATGCCCATAGTAAGGAAATGATCAAGTAAATAACGAGCTTCAGTCAGAGTACAGGCGCTAATAACAGCTGTAACATCTAAAGTGTCTCCTTCCTCCTGTACCAACAGAAAACAATCAGAAATTGATTGCATGCAATTTAGATGCTACTATATTAGATGTAAATTCAACACTTTTGAAATTAGAATTTTATTTTATTAATAAAAATTGTCAGAGACAAAAATTTTCTATAAAGTTGAAGTTGCAATTATGTGGACTTTTGCACAAGATATGAGAATATTCAGAATATATAATAAATATGTATATTGAAGTTTAATATCTAATGAAGCAAAATTGCTCTTGCAAGTAAGAAACGTTTGCAAGGAAAGATATAAAAATATTACCAAAGCAACTAAATGATAGTTTTAAATGTATGCAAAATATAAATCAAATCATTTTTTTATTTCAATCCTAAACCAGCGTAAGTTACAATCAGGAAAAATTATATCCGTTTTAATAACATGCAGGTAGTCCTCAATTTACAATCTAAAATTGAGATAAGAATTTCTATTAAACTTTAATATTGTAAAGATCAACACTAACACCTTAAATGGTCTCCACCAATCCAGACTGTTCTGTTCAGTCATCACACAATCCCTAATTAGCTTGCACGGGTAGCATCTTAGATACAATATAAGTTAGCCCTAAGTAGAAGGCTCAAAAAAGATAAATATCGAAACTTAATACTTTTTTGAAATATGTGGGGCTGGCCTACCTTGGCTTCTTCCATTTGCATGATATTTGCTTGGCAGTCAGAAATACTATCGTTGATGTAATCTATATTGGCCATTAATGACTCCATCTCTTCATTGATATTATGGATGCTTTTATCTGTATCGGGGATACCCTCTTTGATTATTCTCTCCCTTCTTCTGGAAAGCTTTTCTTTCCTTTTGGTAAGTTCTTCACGTTGCTAAAATTAAAAAGAGAACGTTATCAGCTGGGAAATTCAGTCATTCCAATATTTTATGGTGGAAAAGAAAATACTTCAAATCTATTATGTTCACTGTAGTTTAGTGAGAAAGGAACAAACATGCAGCATCTATAATGCAAAAGTAGTTCATCTTTAAAATGTATATTACTAGGGGGATAATGCAAAAAAGGAAATTTTAAAAACCATATTGTGTAACAGAGTGTCTGCAAAATGCTGTACCTTCAATAATCTATTCATATCGCTTTCCATATTAGATATGGTCATTTTCTGCATAATAATCTCTGTTAATCTCCGTTCAAGTAATTGCCATTTCATTCTTGCACTCCTGGAAGTATAAACTCTTGAAGTCATTGCTTTCCTTTGATATTTGCTCCTATAAACAATTCAGAAACGATATAGCATTAACAACTGGGTTAGGTTTTGTGCCAGTAACAGTAGGAGAAAACACCAGCCTTAACATTTAAACCTTTGGCAAGGAGGAAAGTAGTATTAATTTTCAGAAAATATAAACATTGGTTCCAGATGTGCTCACTACCATTGCAATAGCTATTTTGTTTTACAAATGTTTAAATCAAATAGTCCCCAACATTCCAGAATCATATGCTACCTCTGATATTATATCCCTAGCAGAAATGTATTATCATCAGATATGAAACCTGAAGATGATCAATTATTTAAAAAATAGACATTAGGTTTTTCCGATTTCCATTTATATACAAGCAATAAATATGCCAAGTTTAATGTGTGTAAAAGAAGGTCAGAACTGATATGTGATACATTTGTGCAAAATAATGGCATGTATATGTGTCTGTATCTACATGTACAGTAAATGATAAAGGTAACACATACGTGTAAGTTGTTTCTGGCTCTAGCGGGCAGTGCTCATCTCCATTACAAAGCCGAAGAGCCAGCGCTGTCCGAAGACGTCTCCGTGGTCATGTGGCCGGCATGACTAAATGCCGAAGGCGCACGGAACGCTGTTACCTTCCCACCAAAGGGGTCCCTATTTTTCTACTTGCATTTTTACATGCTTTCGAACTGCTAGGTTGGCAGAAGCTGGGACAAGTAACGGGAGCTCACTCCATTATGCAGCGCTAAGGATTCAAACTGTCAAACTGCCGACCTTTCTGATCGACAAGCTCAGCATCTTAGCTGCTGAGCCACCCTTTTACAGTAAATTATACTGATATGTAAAAATAAATTATGAAACCTCAATAAATGTTAGGTTTTTTAATGCCTAAGCTTGGAATAAAAAGTCTCCTTAAACCATCATTGCAAGTTTTCACTTGTTCTTCTATTATTAATTCATCTGCTATTTAAAACAGCATCATCTAGCAAGGACAGAAAATAAAGAATTTCCAGAGGATGTTTTCTAACAGATGGAAGGCTGTTATAATGTAAAGGACATCTGATTTCCATGCAGAAGATCCAAGATCCAATCTTAGGTTTCTTCCAGCAGAAACAGAACTCTTGTCTGTAATCCTGGAGAACTGATGGCCATACTGAAGACAATATGAAGCTGGAGAAACAACAGTTTGGTGTTTCCTGCCTCCTTCACTATAATCCCTTGAGAACTGCCTGCACTAGAAAAAAAAATGAAATTATATAACAGATCTACCATGCTCTAATTTATCCCCATGGTTTGAATGTCTGAGAAAGGTGAGGAATGGAAATCGTTTGGATCCTCAGGTCCTTCCAAACTGTCCTTAAAAAAATCCACATTTTCTCAATATCAGTTTCTAGTGTCGGGATCAATGAGCTTCTGAGGGCCTAGCAATGGAGAGAGAAAAATCTGGAGGATTTATCTTGAGAAAGAAGTCTGAGTAATCGTATAGTCCAGGGCTGTCAAACTCCCGGCCCATGGGCCGGAAGCGTCACGTGCTGGCCACGCCCATGCCTGGTTTAGTGAAGGGAAAAAAAGTCCCCATACATCACGTGATGCTGCCATGACGACATGAGCTTAACACCCCTGTTATAGTCTTTAAAGCATTGTCCAATCCCTCACAGAGTAAGGTAATGTTCTTATGAAATTGTGCTGATCATCTGACAGGCAAAAGTACCAGAGTATTTACTCATTTTAGTATTTGCATAGCCTTACTTGGTTCCATTTGTTGCTGGCAATGCCTGGACTCTTGCTACGGGTATTCTCATCTTCTGTTGGGGGACCACTTTTGATCCATCACTGTCTACTGAGGATGCAGCTTCTTGATTTGAGTGCTCAGGTAGACTCAGCTTCCGACTCACTCTCCCAGACACCTTATCAGATATAGGTCTGGCTTGTCTACGAAGAGCTGTAACCTAAAATAGACAACCATTTTAATAACTTAAAAACTAGATTATATATAATAACTATACACCTATGCTTCGCTATGAAACTATGTGATCAGGCTTATTTGGGGGGGGGGATAAGGGGGGTGGGAAATTGTGGCTCTGCCTACCAGCATCCATCGGTATTCATGTGGCTAGTTCTCCTGTCAGTGTGTGAGAGAGTTTAGGGCTGTTTGGAAACAGAAACTGAAACAATATTTGCTGTGTGAGCAAGGAAACGGCAAGGAACCTGGGTGTAGCTTAGCTCAACTGTTCTGTACTAAAGCTGGTTGCTGTTTGAAACTGAAACTCCTCTCCTCTGCTTGTGTTTTGCATTTGGAACATATTTCTTTTCAGGTGGGGAGGGGGAGTAAAACTCCTTAGCATCAAAGTATGTTAATAATAATATAGGGAATACTAATGCTCTGATGGTCATTTCTAAAAATCCTTTCTTAGTGAGCACCTAGCAGCCAAGGGGAACATACGTGCCAAATTTCAAGTTTGTAGGCTTTACGGTTCTGGAGATTTTGTGATGATGCATGAGAGGTATTTTGCTTTTATACACATAGATTACATATAAATGGCAGAACTGAAATAATCGGTTACCTCTTCGGTTCTGCGACGTAGAATAACTTCCTGATTCCTCTTTTGAGCTTCCAGAAGTTTTAGCTGATGCTGTATAGAAGAACAATCATAATAAGCCAAAAATTCAATTCTTTCCATGTTAAGACCACAATAGAAAATATTTCAATGTGGGATACAATGGGCAGTTTCTGAGGAACCAAGGTTCATAGCTTCCTGCCTTTTGGGGTCAGAGAAGCACTATGGCATCATTGGAAACAAAGAATCCAAAAAAAAATTTTTTTTTTCATTCTGTTTTAATTGGTATTAGGTCTTAAAATTCTTGTGTTTACAATTTTCAATAAAATTATCTTTTTTAAAAATAAAGATAGGTGGGACCATCTGCCTCCTTACATTTATATTCAATGCCATCTGCACTAAACATAAATTTGATCCCCCTCACCTTCAATTCCGGATCACTTATGAACAATTTCTGAAAATAAAAATCCCAAGAAAAAATCTTGGGAAACCAAACCATGGCTCATTCTTTGCCCAATTCCACAAAACTCCTATTTAGAGAATCAAAGCAGTTTCTTCCTTATTCCCAAGATGTAAACCAAATTCCCCACAGCTGTGATACTAAATCACAATACTATGGCTTCATTTCAATTGAAGCTTTAAATATATTTACTTTTATCTCCCGAGAACGCAATAGATATTATCAATTGATTAATCACCTCTCGTTTCCTCTGTTCTTTTTTAAGCTGTGCAATCTCTTTGTTTCTTCTAGATTCATTCATCCTGGCTTTCTCTTGTTCTTCCTTCATTTGTTTCATCAAACGAACCTGTATAAAAAGTTATTTAATCATCTTTAAAAAAAAAAATTTTTCTCTTCACAAAACACAGCGAAACTCCTTTGCATTCAACCTTTTTACTGTAAAAAACAAGTACCTATCATTCATGGTGCTAGACTACTTGTAATAACCTCCTGGCAGATCATAGTTGTCCCATAGGTGCTTTTTCAGGAGGCAACTGGACTGTTTTTTTCTTTTGAAGATGTTTCACTTCTCATCCAAGAAGCTTCGTCAGCTCTGACAGGATAGTGGGGAATATAAATATATAAATATAAATCCTTCCATTCCCCACTGTCAGAGCTGACGAAGCTTCTTGGATGAGAAGTGAAACGTCTCCAAAAGGAAAAAACAAGAAAGTCCAGTTGCCTCTTGAAAAAGCACCTTTGGGATAACTTCCTGGCAGTTTTTTTATTATTACAATAGGCAGAACAAACAATTACTGAGCAGAAATCAACTCAATCCCTGCTAATCACATTGCAACTTACTGAAGTAGGTGGATCACTGTGTCAAAAGCAAAGATCTCTTATAGCATCAGAACCGTAATACTTGCATTCAAGAAGAAATATACAAGAAGGAGACAGTTGTGAAAACTCCCACAACACATGACTACAAACATTATTAAGTAACAATTTTCATTTACAGTATGAGCAATAGGTACAATTGCAGTCTTGATCAAATCATTCAGATGGTTTCAAGCGGCAAAACGAGAGAAACACAGCTGATCATTCATGCACACACTATCAGAGTTTGTGAGGTGAAGTGGAATACCTTCGTTTTCTTCATTTCTGCCACATCCTGCTGCAATTTTTTCAGTTGCTTTTCATATTGTGACTGATTTTTAAGTAATCGTGCATGCTCCTTCTGGGCTACCTGAAGCCTCTGCAGTTGTTTATTCATGGATTGAAGCTTCTTTTCGTATTCACTTTTAATCTTTTTTGCTTTTTCTTCTGAGCAGGTCTCCACGGAACCTAACAATGTCAATGGATTTCTCAGCACATGAACTATGATCACACACACATTCTAGTCTTAAATTAAACCCCATGCTAAATTGGGCCACCTTTCGATTTTTGCTGGAAAATTATGCCCCTACTTACTTTCCTCTTTACCCTTTTTTTTTTAACAAGGGGGAGGAGGAGGAAAAGCAAGAGACCTTTGTACCTCTTGTGCAGGGATGGGATTCAAATTGTTTAACAACCAGTTCTGTGGGCGTGGCTAATTGGGCGCGGCAATGTGACTGGGTGGGCGTGGCCTTTTTTGCAGGCCCCCATTGTGGTTTGTTTGTTTTTGCCTCCTGGGCCTCAGGGAAACCTTCTGGGGGACATTTTTTGCTTTTCCCCCCCGCATGCCCCTTTTTGTCTCCTGGGCGAAACAATAAGACAGCAAGGGGGATCCTGGCACAACTGATCATCGGAACAGCTGATCATCGGGAGGGGGAAAAAGTTATACCTTAAGGAGTGACTGGGCAGGGGAGAATGCAGTCAGCAATGTCGCGCATGCGTGACAAGGATTGACTGGGCGGGGACGGGATGGGTGGGCAGAGAGGGGTGGGGCCAGCCAGAGGCACAATTTGCCCGTTCTCCAAACTGCACAGAATCATAACAACCGGTTCTATAGAACTGGTCCGAACTGGTAGAATCCCACCTCTGCTCTTGTGTCATGGGCCTCCATTTTGATTCGCCAGTTGGCTGCCACAGACATAGTAGGAGAACAGCATGAGAATTGTTTTTCTCCTCAACTGTTCCTAGTATTATATCTATCATTGCAACAAGACTTTCAGCTGGAGCTCATGTGAAGAATCTTTACATTATTAATAATTATTCAGCTAGCCAAGAAATATGAGCCAAATGCAACATAAGAGAAAGCACATCATTATTCACCAACTCTAAAAAGCAAGTCTTGATCCAGGACAGAATAGTAGATAATACACATTTAACAAATTTAAATGAATATCACATACCACCTGTGCCACAAACAAGAAGCAGTTTTGTTGCTATTGACAAAGCTACATTTAGTGGTGTTGCCACTAAAAAAAAGAATGTTTTTCTGCAATAGATTG